CCTCCTCTTTTTCTTCTTCCTCCTTCTTTTCTTCTTTCCTGGATGTGATATCTTTTATGTTTGGGGATTAATAATGCTTTTTAAAAATATTTTTATCCGGTTCCTTTGTTGTCTTTTTTCTTCTGTGTATACATTTTTCCTCTCCTTTTTTGAAAGCATTTTTTGTCTTAGAGCTTATCTTCAGTTTTCCATTTCTTTGAGGCCTATATTCTTACATAAGAGTAGAGGACACACCCTTGCACAAACATTTGCAAACTTTGTGTACCTAGGTGGGACACAAATGTGCCAGTAGCCAGCCAGTATTGTTGGGAGATTCCCAGATGGTAGTATCTGTAGGTCTTTCCTGTAGGGAATAATCCTATAGAGAATAATTCTTTAATCCTTCTTTGTTCCTGAAATAGGGTGAGAGGAAGGGGACTAGAGGTGGCATTGTGAAGTATGACTTTCACATAACTCCTGTGATCATTTGGGCCATTATGTGTCTGAATCCTTTCACTCTTTAGTTTATATTTTTCTCCAGAGAAAAAATGTTTACCAAAAGGGCTGAAGAGGATTAGTGGCTAGAGTGTTCAAGGTAAGGAAGCTTAGGTATGTCCTATTCCTCCTTAGATGGCTTTTGCCCCAAATTCACCTTGTGTTTAGYGCAGAGCTTCCTTCCCATCTTCCACAGTATCTATAAGTTCTCACCTGCTGCTCCTGGGCAATCCCTTTGGTGGTCTTCTGAGTTCAAAACTTTTCATGCCATTTTTCTTCTATAGTTGTTATTTTGGTCACCTTTGTCCTTGGATCTTTCCTTTCATTTTAGTAGCATTTTAAGAGGGAACATAGAGGTAAATGCACATTTTTGACCAAAAGCTTCCCGCTTCTTTTTTCTCAAATAGCCTTTGCATAGATCCTGGGCTTTTCTTATTGATTTCCCCCCCATAACGTGAATTCTCCTAGGCTTGTTGTCTGCAGTTGGGTGTTGAGGAGTGACAGTGCAGTGTTGTGAATATTCCCTCTGAGTTCTTTCAGCCTTTGTTTCCCAACTAGACAGTGAGGACTGGCTACTGAATGGCATTTTCCAACACCCTGCTTTGCTTGCTGGATTCTTCACAGGTAATATGCCTGAGTATTTCTTTCTATTTCTCACCTTTTTCMGTGGTCCAGTCTTGATCCAGAGTAACTCTTAACACCAGCCCACATGCTCAGTTTTCATGGTACATAGGAAGGATGTTGGTTTTGCTCTCAGAGCTGTCAATAGTGTGGACAGCTCTTCACATGTTTTTTTCCTGTGTCTTCCCTGTCTTTGGCAGCACTTTCTCATATATTGGGGTGCAGAGTCCTAGATGATTCTTATTATCAGACATAGGGTTCTTAAAATTTCCCTTATTTTTGGTGATTTCTGAGAGAAAAGTAGGAAGGTTTTATTCTGTCATCTCTTATTGGTAGTATACTCTCATTAATTACATATTGTTTTTATTAGCTTTTGTCTCAGTAAGTGCACTTTTCCTTATGTTTGTTCTCTACTTCAAAGGCTATCTATTGTTTTGTTTTACATAAGCTTAACATGCTTGAGAATATGGCTACTTGGTAGCAGAGGTTTTCTTTGCATAATTTTTTCTTTCTGTTTTTTTAGGGAAGATCCACCAACTCGCTCTCAGCCAGACAGTGATGATGAAGCAGAAGAAATACAGGTTGGTAGAAAATAAAATAATCTGTTCTGTAGACTATTTTAGTTTAAATGGCCCCTAAAGTGGTTTTGATGTTTAGGTCTTCCCTTACATTTGATAAAGTGAGAAATTACACAAAAATCTTACTTTTGATGTCCATTTTTACATATACTTGTGTTTGGGGAAAGATGTCTTCTGTTTATGTATCATGTTTAGATGGAGCACTGCCTTTGGGATCCTGTTATAGTATTTAAACTTAATGTTGTTTGTTTTTCTGTCCTTKTATCCATGTAGTGGTCAGATGATGAGAACACAGCCACGCTTACGGTAAGAGCAAAGCAGCACCAGCATGGGGACACAGCCTCATACTGTCACCTAAGAGTTACCTCATGGTTGAAGTGCACAGCTCTCCAAATTCCCATGTACTTACCACTTCAAATACCTTGTTGTCTGTGGGCTATTATTTATTATTCTGAAAAATAATTTGAATCATTTTTGAATAGGCAAACATGGCTTGYCCACTTTTTCTGTTTGATTACAAAGGAAATATTTAAAGTGCATTATTTGATGCTCTAACTTGTTTCTGTTACACTCTGAAAGAAGGAATTAAGCCAGGCATACACTGAGCTTCCCATATTGCTGGGCATTAAAGTGAAAAATCTATATTTATTTATTCAAGTATATTTAAATGCCATAAATAAATTATAATTTATTTCAAGTGAATGAAGTATGTGAGTTCAACCCAAGTTTTATATAAAATTGTAGAAGTTGATCAAGCATATTATATAGTCTTTTGGGATAAAAATGCTGCTATAAAATTCAACTTAACGGCTGGGGTTGTGGCTCCGTGGTAGACTGCTCGCCTTACACGTGCAAGGTCCTGGGTTCGATCCTCAGCACCACATAAAAATAAATAAATAAAATTGGGGTTTTAAAAAAAAATTCAACTGAAAATATTTTTATGAAAAAAWTTTTTTTTGGTACCAGGGATTGAACTCAAGGTCACTTGACCACTGAGCCACATCCCCGGCCCTATTTTGTATTTTATTTAATTTAGAGACAGGGTTTTACTGAGTTGCTTAGCACCTTGCTTTTGCTGAGGCTGGCTTTGAACTTGTGATCCTCCTGCCTCAGCCTCCTGAGCCATTGGGATTATAGGTATGCGCCACCGTGCCTGGCTAAAAAAATATATATTTTTTATACCTTTTTTTTTTTTAAATTTATTTTTATGTGATGCTGAGGATCGAACCCAGGGCTTTACAAGTGCTAGGCAAGCACTCTCCCGCTAAGCCACAACCCGAGCCCCATGAAAATACTTTTTAAGAGTATTTTTTAAAGATTAGTAAAGAAAAGAAGAAGGAGAAGGAGAAGGGCTTTTTTAATAAAATTCCTTATAAATAAACAGAATACATTGCAATACAACTGTAAATAAGAAGATACTTCTGCTTAATGAAAGAGATATATGGTGTTCAGATGCAGAAAAAAAGTGAATATATTTAAAACTGTCATATTCCTTTCAGTAGCAGAAGTTTAGCATGCCAAATGTAGAAATAGAAGTTTGTTTTATTTACTCTGGATGCCATTTGATTCACTCTTCTTTTATGCATGATAATCAAAGATGAATATGATTTGATTTCTTCTATTAGAGAGTGTATAAACCAGTGGGGGAAAATGATATGGGGGTAGATGACAGGGATGTTGGCTTGAACCATTATAAAGGATATACAGAAGTACTTAAAAGAATAAACAGTATTTAACCTGGACCTTAAAAAGAGTAAGGATCAGTATCAACTCATTTAATTTTTTTTTTTAAAGAGAGAGTGAGAGAAAGAGAGAGAGAAAGAGAGAGAGAAAGAGAGAGAATTTTTTAATATTTATTTTTTAGTTTTCAGCGGACACAACATCTTTGTTTGTATGTGGTGCTGAGGATCGAACCCAGGCTGCATACATGCCAGGCAAGCGCGCTACCACTTGAGCCACATCCCCATCCCCTCAACTCATTTAAAATATTATGAATGGATGGGTAATATGGAAATTAATAATACAAGTATATGTATTTGACTGAGTCTGTTCCTGCTGCTATAACATAATACCTTAGACTAAGTAATTTAGAAATAATAGAAATTTACTTCTCATAGTTAAAGAGACTAGGAAGTCCAAGATCAAGGCACTAGCCGATATAGTGTCAGGCGAGGGCTTGCTCTTTGCTGTTTGCTCCCAGACCTTGTTGCTACATCCTTACATGATACAAGGAGCAAGAGATGRAAGAGCCAGGTAGCTCTCTAAAGCCTCTTTTATGAGGGCATTGATTAAAGGCCCTACCTCCTAATATCACCACAGTGGGGGGGATTAAGTCATAACATGAATTTTGGAGTGACGCAAACATTCAAACSAAAGCATTGTGCATGGGTGTATGTTTGTATATTTTTCAAACTCTGTCCACTAATTTGAGCARTAAGTTGTAGAAGCAGTGACATATATCATGAGAGCAGTGAGCACACTTTCTGCTCTGATATTGGTTTCTAAATACCATTCTCCACTAAAGGAATTGAAGCTTCTTAAAGAAATTGAGGACTGAGGTTAGGGGAGTGAAAGTGAGCCCATAGTACCTTGTTATACAAAAAACTAAGGAAATGCTTAAAGAATGATGGGAACATGACAAAAAGATCTCAGAAGCCAGCTTGAATGGCCCCCCACTGGCTAAAAAGTTGTGCATCATAACAAATAGGGATAGATTATGACCCATTGACTAAAATAAGAATATAAGATCCCATACTGACATAAATCAGTGATTAAATTAAATAAGTAAGGGGGAAATTTCCCTCCCTCATGATAGTGCTAACACCCAACAAAGTGAGCTTTTTAGAAATTGTATTGAATAACTGCCCTGTATGTACTTTTCAAAAATGTCAAAGTCCATCTGGACATGGTGGCGTATGCCTGTGATCCCAGCAGCCTGGGAGGCTGAGGCAGGAGGATCACAAGTTCAAAGCCAGTCTCAGCAACTTAGCAAGGTCCTATCTCAAAATAAGAAAAGGGGGTGGGGCTGGATATATGGCTCAGAGGTTAAGTGCCCCTGGGTTCAATTCCTGGTACCAAAAAAAAAAAAAAAAAAAAGTCATGAATACTAAGAACCACAGAGAATATAGCTGTTACAGATTCAAAAGTATTCAAGAAGCATGACACCTAAGTACAATGCTTTAAGGCAGTCTGAATCCTGAAACACCCACTGCCCCAAATAAAAAAGTTTTGTTTTTTCTTTTGCTATAAAAGACATTATTAGGGTAGCTGGAAAATTTCTTATAAGATCTATAGTTTAGGGGCTGGGGTTGTAGCTCAGTGGTAGAGTGCTTGCCTCACATGTGTGAGGTACAGGGTTTCATCCTCAGTAYCACATAAAAATAAATAAATAAAATAAAGATATTGTACTCATCTACAACTAGAAATATTTTTTAAAAATCTGTAGATTAGGTTAATGGTATTGTGTTCTTGTTAGCTATCTGATTTGATCATTTTACTATGTTATGCAAGAAAATGTTAAAAATGGCTTTATAGGAAATATATATTGAAGTATTTTGGGGTAAGAAGCTTACTGACTGCAGTTTACTCTAAAATAGTATAGGGAAAATGTCTGTTATATGTATGTATATGTAAATAAATAGATACATTCATAGATAGGAGATGGGATGATAAAGAGGATGTAAAATGGGGAGTYTGGGTGAAGAGTAGATAGACGCTCTTGGTACACTTATGATGTTTCTGAGAGTCTGAAAATATTTAAAAATAAAAAGTTAATGATATTTAAAAGTGGTTGGGTTGAATTAGATGGAGTTTGGCAGGGGGAACATTCATGGTAGAACACTCTTAGTAGAGGAAAAATTTAAGCCAGAACATAGAGTTGGAAAATCCAAAGTATTGTTGACTGGTGAGTTGTCCATTGGTATAGGTAAAGCAGTCAATTAAAAATGGGAAAAATCGAGATCAAAAACACAATAGTGAATATAAAAACATAAGCTGGTAGAGTGCATCCTGGGTTCAATCCCAAGGTACCAAAAATGTTAAGTTGCTAAAAGTAGCATATATAAAAATTTTAAATGCCACATTTTATAGAAAAGCACATATATTGTAAGTATAAAGTCATAAATATGGAAGAATTCACCCTAATTTTCTAATGATAGTTGCCTATGGGATATTTAGGATGAATATGGTTTTAGAAAGTCCAGGGATATCAGATGAAGAATGTAGAGTTTATCCCACTTCAGTGGGAATTTCCCCCAGACAAATAACATGTCATGAATGTTTAAAATTGGCTAATTGCAGACTAGCAATGTAGTTCAACAGTAAAGCACTAGSCTAATGGGCTCAAGACCTGGGTTCAATCCTTAGTCACCCCCCCCCCCCGCAGAAAAAGGACCATTTGAGCTGTGTATTTTTTAAAAAATCCTATTAATTAAGTCTTTTTATAGACGATTTTCAGAAAAGTGAAATCATGATTTCAATACAGATATAAACTCTGTAACACATTTTAAAGATTTTGTTTAATTTATGGGGGAGCCAGACAGATGTTAACACTATTTTAAAAGAGAACCCAAAGGCATATTTATAGATCAAGAATATCAAAATGAACATTTAAATGAGGCAAAACTGGTTTTGCCTCCCTTCAGAGTTGCAAAGAAGACAATTGAATTTCTTCCAGACAAAATAGAAATTTCATAAACGCAAGAATAAGCTCACATTATTATCAGTTACCTATTATCAAGTTGTAAAATAGCTCATGGACATAGCTAGAATCTGACAATCCAGATGGTCTGTTATACATATGCTTTTTATAATTTATATTCGTTTAGAATCCTTTTGATAGAATTTTCTCAAGTTGAATAATTTTGAGGATTCGAGGGAAATGATCACATCCTTTAAAATGCAATACATAAATATAAAGCAATCCTTAGATGTMAAGTTTCATGGGATAGGAAAATTAAATTATTTTGTCTTTGAAAGTTGAATGTCTTCATGTTGTAAAATTTGTATAACTATTCCACTTATAGGAAATATTGTTAATGCAGATCTTGGGTAATTGGTTTTTATTACTAAAGATGTAGGGGAGCCAGACTAGCAGCTTCAAATTATTGGCTTGACATAAACCATAATTCCTTTTGATGGGGAGAGTTAAGTGGAAAATAAAGGACCCTTGATTTAGAGAGGCTTCAAAAGCCTCTCTATACTACTTTAATTTTATGATTCTAAGCTGAAGAAGTAGTCTAATGGAAACTAGATGTGGAGACAGTCTATCAAGTAATTAAAAGATATTGTTGTTAACAGTCTAGAGATCAGATTTACCTGTAGCAAAAAGCTTAATTGGGCCTTAAGCTCTCTCTTCTTTATTTATTAGCCTTTTGCTTAAATTTCTTTCTAGGGCTGGGGGTATAGCCTAGTGGTAAAGTGCTAGCCTAGCATGTGCAAGGCCCTGGGTTTGATCCCCAGCATTAAACTACAAAATCAAAATGTTTCTCATTTGGAGACATATAACCATTTAAAAAAATTATTTCTTTGGTCTGTGTTGAGAGCCACAGCTGAGTYGGAATGGCCCCTGGCATTTTGCCAGAAGTAATGGTTGAGAGGCAGCCATTAAGATGATGCTGGATTGATTCAATTGTATATAGACCCCTGCTGTCCGCCTTTGGAGTTCTTTCAGGGATTTCCTGGGGAGTTCCATTGGTTGGAGAAGTTCCAGTGGAGGGAGTTCCGGTTGGGGTGGTGTGCTGGAGAGGGGCCACATGGGTGGCATTCGGGAGAGTTCCTGGGGAGTGTGCCTGGAGTGCTGTTGGAGTTCAGGCAATAAAGTTTCCTGTTTGAACATACAAGTGCTTTGTGGCRGCTCAGTGATTTGTACCCAGCCAGACTGCGGCAGGTCTGTTTACAGAGTCTTATCTGTCAATTTCTTTTCTCTCATGGCTAGGCTAAACTTGGGGATCCACACTAACCATTTCATTTAGTTTTAGAATATGTAGTTAATTCTAGATCTAGTCTAACTTTTTTCCATATGAAAGTTAATTACTGGATTTTTTTCCCCAGAATTTACAGATGCCCAATAGGGGGCAGCAACTCCCTGTGTAGGGATAAATGAAATTAAATGATTATGTAGAGAATTTATGTTAATATTTTTGTGTTCTGTTCCTCCTGAAACCTCCACTTCCACCTCTCTTAATGTTCCTTTTATCTAGTTTGTATCCATGAGCTCCTTCGATAATAAGAGAAAGTTCAATGCCAGATACACTGGCAATCAAGTTTAAATTCCTGTTCAACAACAGTATTTCAATTTTAAATTTCCTGGTTGAAATGAATACATTATATATATATATATATATATATATATATATATATATATATATATGCATTTTTTGAACCATCCAGAAAGCAAAGAACATTTTAATTTGACCAAGGTCTGACTTTTGAGTTTTGCTTACATTAAAACTTGTCTGGAAATAGCAGTATTTAAATACAGTTTACCACATCATTTATTTTTCATTCTTATAAAGCCTTTTGGAGGTATGTTCAAAGACCTTTTACAGATGGAAAAGCATCTGGCCCTTTAAGTTTGGGGTGTTATTTCTGAGAACTGGAATATATATACTATTGACATTCCTGTCACTTCACTTAATAAATCTTGTTTTATGTAGGTATACAGAAAGAACCATTCTTCTTAAATTCCAGTTGCCCACTCTTATCTTTTTAGATTTGTGGGGTTTTTTTTTTTTTTTTTTGCTTTGTTTTGTTTTTTCATTTGTGGGTTTTGATTGTTTTGGAAAGTGCCATTTGAGCAATTTGTTATTTTATTTCTCTTTCTGGTAAATATTATTTAATCACTTATTTTATTGAGTTCTGAAATTAGGATGGTAGTTTGTATTCTGCATTCTGTTTTTAATGCCATAGAATATACCCCTGAGATTTTGATCATATTTTCTGTGTTCACTGTGGTAATATTGACTTGCCTTAATGCTTTCTTCTTTTTCTCTGTAGGCACCAGAATTTCCTGAGTTTGCCACTAAAGTCCAGGAAGCTATCAATTCTCTAGGTGGCAGTGTCTTTCCTAAGCTTAACTGGAGTGCCCCAAGGGTAGGAACACATAAGTAAATCTCTTATTGCTTGAATAGTCTTTGCTTTGCTATTCATTTCATTTTATATCCTCAAAGAGAGACTAATTATATTCCTAATTTTAGGGAAAATAGTGTGGAATTTATTATTTTTTCTCTTTTACTGGTTTTGTGAAATACTATATATTCTGTCAAAAAGACAGTTTAGACCTCGTAAGTTGCTGCTTATTCTAGAATTCTGAGGAAGTTCATTCTTTGCCCTTTTAAAAACTTTAGCTATTTAACAGAGAAAGTTTTGTTCATTTTAAAGTAATAATCAGAATGCTACAAGATGTAGAAATAGAGTGGTTTGAGAAATCAACTTGTATTTTCTTATGTTTACACTCTATTAAAAAGATTTTTGTAGAAGTTAAGATCTGTGGAAAAATACTCTTATTTTTTTTAATTCATTAGAAAATAATTTTATGCCAGTAAAGCTCATTTAAGAAATTAAAGACTTAACTTGCATTTTCAAAAATCATCTCATGTATCTTTCTCTTTTAATTATAAAATGAGTAACGTATTTAATCTAACTTTTATTTTTACTTTATAATTAGTTATATTTGTATGCAGTTTAAAATTTTTAAGTAGAAACAGAATCTTGCCACAAAAATCAGCAGKTCCTACACCTGTTTTACTTTGTTTCCTCTTCCTTGGAGCAACCACTTTCAAATGTTTTAGTACATTTGTTACTTATCTCTCTTTCCTGACTTTTCAGTTTTAGATATTTATTATTGGCTTCCTACTTAGAAGACTCAGCTCTTTCATCTCCTATCCCCTTTACTTCCTGTTTCATTATGCTCCTCACAGTTATATCTGATTTTGGTTAGGTCAGCATTCAGTGTTTTCATTTACTGTGATTATKCGAAAAGCATGTACACATCTGGTATATACCATACTATGATTACTTATGTTTTCTTATTCAATATTTTATCTTCCCTGGAGTTGATAATTGCCTTGTTTATTCAGCTGCACAATTTGCTGTGTACATACTTGTTTCAGTGGAGTTAAATGTGTGTTCAATATACTATTTTTAATCAGAAGTTCATCATCTTTTTCATGGGAGAAATTTTTAAAAAACATATTTATTGACTGAGTGCAGTGGTAACATACACCTGTAATCCCAGAAGCTTGGGAAGCTGAGGTAGGAGGACTGTAAGTTCAAAGCCAGTCTCAGAAACTTAGTAGGATGCTAAAAAATAAAAATGTCTGGGGATGTGACTTTGTGGGAAAGGCCTTCTGGGTTCAATCCCTAGTACCCCCCCCCACAAAGTTATTGTAAAGAAGTTACAATATCTTATATTACAATATACAAAATTATTGACCTTATTTGTAGTTCTCACAGTCAATTTTTCATTTGTACAGCAATCTTTTTAATCATTTTTTCCCACTAAATTGAATTTAGACTTTCCACTTAAGATGGGAAAATTATTTGTGATGGTTATTTATCTTTTCATTTTTTAATTGTTTATTGAGTTTCTTCTACACACCAGTGTTTTCTTCCATGTAGTAGAATAGCTTTTTAGTTTTTTGCAATCATTTGTTTCTCAAAAGTATACAGTGCTCCTACTTCTGTTCTATCTATAAGAGAGGAGTGTTTTTTAAATTACTTAATTGTAATATTACCTTTTAGGCATGTTCCACTAAGCTGTGTGCCTGCTCTTCTTCCTTTTTTTGATGTGTTTGAGACATTCACCATTTAAAGGAGTAATGGTTCCAAAGATCTTCCCTCTTTCCTTCCTAGATTTGATTTACATGGGTCTTAATTACTTAAGGTCTTAATTATTTTAATTCTGATGTTTGACTGTCACTSTTGAGATAGGAAGAAGGGAAGTGATCTCTTTTATTTTTGGAGAGTAGCTGGTCAGGCTATTTCTTTACCATATTACTCTTTCAACTGAAGTGTGCTTTTGACATTTCATTTTCCCCTTCTTCCATCATCAGCAAGAAAAGCATTGGAAAGTGCCTGGGCCCCAAGAGGAAATGTGGGGACCAAGCCAGCTCAGTGGTTGTAACTGAGGGTCTGTCCTGCAATGGTCATGCTCTTCCTTGTAAAGGAGTATAATTTGACATTTGACASTATTGCTAAGATCTACTAGACCTTTTTTTACTAGAGCAAGTAACATGGAATATGTACTAAATCACATATGCTTTATTATTTAGGATGCATACTGGATAGCAATGAATAGTTCTCTGAAGTGTAAAACCCTCAGTGACATCTTTCTACTTTTCAAGAGTTCCGATTTCATCACTCGTGACTTCACTCAACCGTAAGCATCTCATTCCCTCAGTATCAGTTATTTCAGTACTTGTGCTGATTTTTCTATTGGTAGAACTCCATAGTTCTAGTACTATTATAAACAACAGCTTTATATTTCAAAGTCTTTTATGTTCCCCAAATTACCTATTAAAACATACCTTTCTGGGCTGGGGATGTGGCTCAAGCGGTAGCGCGCCCGTCTAGCATGCGTGCGGCCCGGGTTCGATCCTCAGCACCACATACCAACAAAGATGTTGTGTAAGCCGAGAACTAAAAAATAAATATTAAAAAATTCTCTCTCTCTCTCTCCTCTCTCACTCTCTCTTAAAAAAAAAAAAAAAATAAAACATACCTTTCTTTTACTTTTGCAGTAATGACTTATATAGTGGATTTTCCTAAATATAAAGAACTTTCTGTGTATTTGCACATTAAATATTTTAGTACTCTTTTTTTCTTGTATAAAACTGATATGTTTATCATAGAAAAGCAAAATTAGAAACTGTAGCTAAACAAAAAYAGAAAATATAAAAGCACTTATGAATCATTATAATTGGCTCTATATACTTCCAGAGTTCTGTCTATGCATTTATTTATATATATAAATTTATATATAATAAATTGTATATATATAAATGGTATCCTATAATTCATATTACTTAGTAGGCTAAATTTGCACTTACCAGCATAGAGTGACATCTTTACATGTCTTTAAATACTTAATTCTTCATTATTTTTTGTTACCTTAATGATATGTCCCTGAATAGCAGTAGCATGATGTGTGTGACCAATTCTTCTAAAAAGTTCTGCAGTGGGGCTGGGGATATAGCTTTGTTGGTAGAGTGCTTGCTTTACTCAGGCATAAGGCCCTGGATTCAATCCCCAGCACCACCACCAAAAAAAAAAAAAAAAAAAAAAAAAAAGTTCTACAGTGAATATTCTGAAGTTAAATCTTTGTGTGCTTCCCTAATTTTTTCCTTAGAATAAATTTCAAAAGTGGAATTGCTGTTTTCCTTCCTTTGCCAGTCACTCTATAGTTAAAGAACTTGACCTTGTATGATCTGCATCTGCACTATTAAGCTGTAGTTGCTGTTTGTGCTTTTGTTCTATCATCAAGTGGCAGTTATTTTTCTAAGTTTTTCTTCTTATCTTACACCAGTTATCTCAAACTTCTTTAAACTGTCCTTTAAATAAAAGATATCATAAAATCTAGAAGCTAAGTAGGAGAACAAAGGTAAAAAATATTGTATATCTATGCTACTTCTTTTCTACCCATTCATTTGAGTTTTTCCATAATAGTTTACCCCAATTCAGCATCATATCCTTTTCTAAAAAGGAACTTGGCCTGAATAAATAACTTTGCTTCATAAACTTTGTTGAATCYGAGTTTTGTAGCTTGGGCATGTAATTATAGTATTATATTAATTAGAGAAAACAAAGTTATGTAACTGTTAATGGGCATGGTTGTCTTGCACACTTATTATAAAAGGATTTTAGGAGCTGAGGGTGTAGCTCAGTAATAATGTGTTATCATRTGTGAGACCCTGGGTTCAGTCCTCAGCACAGGGTAGGATTCTTCTTCCAGCTGGAAGAAGCAGGCTTTTACCTGCATTGGTATTTCTGGCTTTAAGAAAAAAGCATACACACACACACACACACACACACACACACATATTTGGCACCAGAGATTGAACTCAGGGACACTTAACCAATGAGCCACATCCCCAGCCCTTTTTTGTATTTTATTTAGAGACAGGGTCTCACTGAGTTGCTTAGGGCCTCAGTAGGTTGCTGAGGCTGGCTTTGAACTTGTGATCCTCCTGCCTCAGCCTCCCAAGCCACTGAGATTATAGGCGTGTGCCACCATGCCCAGCCCTGGATTATTTTGACATTTAGTTGTCAGCCTTTTATGGCTGTGTTGGTGCAGGTGCTATTAGGGGTTAGTAGTCCTTGTTTAGTAATAAATCAGTAGCATTTTCATTTTAGGAGATGCCTCTGATTAAAAGAAAATCATGTCTTTCCATTGTAAAGCTTTCTGACAGCCAATGCTTTAAGTAAAGAGGCCTTGAAATATATTACATTAAAATTACTCTGCATGGTTAATTCATCTGATATGAACTTTTATATACCTTTAGTACTGGTTGTAGCAAGTGTGTGAGAGCACCTTGCCTTTCCAGAAACCATTATAAATCACTTCAGTTCTGAGGCTGATTGTTTTTTAACTCAGCTTTATAATTTAGAGATCCACTATTTCCTCTTAGCCCACTTCTTCCTTTTTGTCTTAATTTGACTGATGTTCCCATGAATGGTACCAATGAGTTGTTTCTCATTTTGTATTTTTGACTTTTGCATGGGGAGGAAGTTAGCTCAGCAAGTGAATTTGAGGCCTTGGATTTAGAGTGTTTATCCAGAAAAGGCCATTCTTCTCCGAGTCAACAGTTGGGGTTGGCAGGAACAACTACTGAGCACTGAGCTTTTAGACTTTTAGGTGGGTACCACTAATGTGTCACCCTTTTCTAGAAATATTTGTTGGTGGTCAGTTGCATAGCATTTAATAAGCTAGTTGCATAGTAGTAAAAGTTATCATCACATTAAAATTCCTTATTGATAGTACTCATTGAAGATGCACTTTGGGAGCTGAGGATATAACTCAGTGGTAGAGCACCTGCTTAACATKCACAAAGCCCTGGGTTCAATCTCTAGCACTGCAAAAAATAAAAAAGGATGAACTTTTCACCCAAGGCCTTGTCAAAAAATTTTAAGAAAAATCTTTCTTAAAAGATTAAAACTCTTAATGTAGCGCGGTTGGTAGAGTGCTTGCCTAGCATATGTGAGGAGGCCTTGGGTTCGACTCCCAGCACCACACCCACACACACACACACACACACACACACACACACACAAAGTGTAATTCTTTAGATCATATAGAGTCATATCAGTGATTTAATCTAACCCTTTTCTTCTACAGATTAGAAAACTGAGGACTAAATGTGTCAGTAATTGGCCTAAGGTTCCACAGCTGATTTCTTCCACCAAAACCAAAATATAATTTCAATAATCTGATTCTAAAAGTTCTTTGTACTTTCAGTTAATTTATAGATTCTTTTCAAAGTGCTTCCAATTAAAATGCAAAATACAGTATAACTGGATGTTATAATATGTAGTTATACATAATATGTGTAACATTATATAATATTACAAAAATAAGATTATTTTGTTTATACTATTTTGAGACTTACCTTAACTAAAAACAAAGATATGGTCAGGATTGCAAGATAACAAAAGCCCAGCTGAAGATAGCTTACACACATGGGGTTTAAAAGAATATATTATTTGGCCAGAAGTGTGTGTGGTTCAGTTGTAGAGTGCTTGCTTAGCATGCATGAAGCCCTGAGTCCAATACCCAGTACTGTAAAAAATAAAAATAAATAAATCTGGATAATTAAAAAATATATTTTTTTTAACAAGAAACTTGGAGACTCTGTATTTTTAGAGTTAATTCAGCAGCTCACCAAAGTCATCAGGAAAAGACTTTCAGACTTTCTTCTCTGCCATCCCTGGCTTATTGGCTTGGTGTTTGGGTTTATCACCTGTTGGTCACAAGATTACTGTCAAAGTTGCAAATATCTATCACATGAAGAAATRACAATATCCATACAAAAAAATAGGAAAGACAGGTGTATCTCCTCTGATTAATTTCCTATATGAACAAGTAAAGCACTCCTGGAAGCTTCCCAGGAGACTTCTCTCAGGCATCATTGACTACATAGTTACTTAGTTTAATCCAAGAATTGGCAACAGAAACAGAATTCATGACCATTTAGATGAGGGGTTTTCAAATGTTAGAATGCATCAGAGTCATCAGGACAGTTTGCTAAAGCACTGATTTCTGGGACCCATTCCTGGAGTTTCTATTTCAGTGCTCCTAGGGTGGGCCCCAACCATATGATTTCTAACTTGTTCCTGAGTAACATTGATGCTGCTGGCCCAGGTTCATGCCTTAAGGACTGCTTAGATCAATACATCAATACATGTATCCCTGGGATTAGTGAGGTATGTTAGCATAACTGTAACAAAATATCTGAGATAAAGTTTATAAGGAGGAAAACTTTATTTTGGCTTATAGTTTCATTCCATGATTTGTTGGCTGTTTATTTTGGGCTTGTGGCAGCATGGTACACAATGGTAGAAGCACATGGTTGAAGAGGCCTGTTCTTCTAATGGCAGCYAGGAAACAAAGAGAAAGGTGGAAAAGAACCAGGATCCTAGTATCCCCTTCAATGGCAAATCCCCAGTGACCTAACTTCCTTCCAATAGGCCCATTTTCTACGAGATTCCCACCTTCCAGTAACACCCTGGGCTGGGAACCAAGCCTTTACTAGATGGGCTTTTTGGGGGGCATTTAAGGTCTAGACCATACCAAGAGGTGATCAGGAAGCACAAGTGTTTCCAGTGTCTGGACAATTCACATTCTGTTAGCAAGGTTGGAAATGAGGAAAAGCTAGAGGGCCAGTCATCAGTGTCTGTCACAGCTGTAATTTGCTGTAAAATATTAAGTATAGTTTCATTTTTCCTGTTTTTCAAATTGTTACTCTATACAAAAAAAAAATGTAAAGATTGACATGTAACACATATAACATAATCAATCTGCATTATCTTTGCTGATTATATTCTTTGTCCAAGTATAAACATTATATTTGATTAAACTTATTGAATCATAAAGCTGTTTTCAATAATTATTTTATTGATTAGATGTCACTTTAGTAAGCCAAAGCAAGAAAAAAAACTGTTATTCCCTTGTCATTTAGAAGAAAAAGCTGAGTGGGTGGAAAACTAAATCCATTCATTGTTTCTCTGATAGTCTCATGACTGAGGAAAAATAGAATTGACCAGAGATCAGGGAATTTCACTTGTCTTAGTATTTAAACTCAGTTATACTCAATGTAATTTTTAGATTTTTTTCCCTTAAGATTATCACAAAACTAGTGATAAAGTAGTCCTTTATCTTCAGGG